CTCGAAGTCTCGTCATCGATGTTACACAAGCAAAAATTTACTATGAACAACATCGGGGGGGACATGTCCCATGACTATTAATACGAAACTAATACAGGTTACAAAAAAAAATTGAAATTTTTCTTTTCTAATATAAAAAGTATGACAGAATTAGATAAAAGTTACAGATATATGTATTTTTATACAAGAAACAAATTTACTTATGGCCAATTTAATGAGTTATTTTATTAAAATGTTGCCTAATTTCAAAAATTCAAAACTCAAAAATTTTGTTATTACTTGTATAAAACAAAAAAATCCTATTATTTTTACATAAAGATTTTCAAATGTGTTCTCCATGTTGTTACAAACGAGTTTACTTAAAGAAAGTAAAGTTTGATTTCAAAGGGAATCGTTTATTATTATTCCATGGAGTAGGAATTATTGTTCTAATAACCTGAACAATATTTTATAACATGAACAATATTTACAACATACTGTATCTGCATGACTGCAGAGGAAGATTTTACCATGTGACTTACTATCATATCGGCTTGCCATAACATGTGATGTTTGTATAGTAAAATTAGAAATTATTATTATTATAATAATATCAACAGAGATTTTTATTTACAAAAAGTTATATATAAAGACATAAAAAAAGTTATTAAACAGAAATACATCCTTCTATTTCTTCTCTTCCATATCAAGTGGATAGAGACTTGATAAAATTAATCAAATCCGAATATATACTTGATTCATCCACTATATCTATATCCAGCTGATTCTTTGGCTACTATTGCTCTATTTTCTGCACAACAAGTAAATTTATTTTTGGATCCCCAAATGTATTATCCCGGCATAGTTGCGCAAACTTTGTATATACAAGAGAGCTGTCCAGTCCCTCGAGTTTCGCACAGACCAGACAAATGGTTCTTTAAGACTGGGTATATCACTGGGTACATCAGTGGGTATATCATCGGGCTACCAAGATAGCAATAGTAGATTCTTTATTGACACTTGATAAAGCCCCTTCCATTCTTTACCCCATTCTTTACCCAAGCTTGTTACAGGCATTTTATAATAGTATTATGGGTAAATTATTATAAAATGAGGCTTGGTTTGGGTTTGGTTTGAGGTTGTTTTCAAACCCCACCACCTATAACATAAATAAGAGTTTAATTTTGAAAATATACTTGAAAGAAACAATGACAATAGATAGGTTACCTTGTAGCCAGCTTTCACCAGGATATTATTTATCCTCCTCTCGAATTCGGTTCCTTTTTGCGTTGTGTTTGCCATGCCTTGAAATAGACCAAGAAATGGATCGTCTATGGATATTAATATAAATGAAAAATGAGTAAATGCATCATCATAATTGAAGAACATTTACAGCATAAGCTGTGGCCACGATGCGCTTTCAATTCAAATGGTTAATTTATCCTATTCACCACAGACCCGGGGCCGTTCCCAGACAGCTTTTCGGTGTGGAGTCTCGTAAATGTATACCCTATCGCCTATGAAACCCCAACCTAGTGACAGCGTAACTTCAGATATCTACACTAACGAAGTGCTTTCAAGTCCCCGATTTGCACCTAACTTCAGATACAATAACCATTCAACAAATACTCGGTGAAATACTCACTCATAGCGACGAACTTCTCCCTCAAAAGATTTTTCGAATTCTCTTCCTTGTTCGACGAAGCGTGTCATCTTGATTATTTAATAGATAAAAAGTTATATATTAGTTTTAATAAAAGATCGAAAAATTAAAGTGTTATCAGACAAATTATCTTCATCAACATTATCAAAAAATGCAAAGAACAAGACAGAATTTGCTTTTTCAGGATTCTCTTGCAAGGCAGATGACATACCCCCTCCCCCGAGCTGTGCACAGTACTGTTATAAAAACAAACCTCGTTGAGTAAGAGCGTTCCTATATTATGCATGGCTCCACCTTTTTCATCATGACCGTGAGGATAAGCGTCTTCATTTGTCAAGGAATCCTCGATAAGACCATTCGGTAGGTTCAAAGTGTAAATAAAACGCATATTTGTAGGAACTTTGCCAAGGTAGGTCAAGTTGGTTGAAGTGGTCGACATATTAATATGATGCTAGAAAGTCTGCGGAAGTGCGGATGCAAAAAAAAAAAAAAAAAAAATTTCACAAGTCATGTGACTTAAATAATATCGGCTAGTAGAGGTATTACTGTATATTTTATCGAAACGAGCAGGTATTTTGATTCAGCTGCCCTTGATTTCATCGCTTGAACAAGCGTTTGAATTGATTGCGAGTTTTATAGTATGACAAAGTAGTAGTTCACAGAACATTTTAATAGCGGATACGAACATTCTTGAGTGGATTGCTATTTGATTTCTTGTAGAACAAAGTAATGCCTTTGATAATTCGATTAATTGAAAATGTAGTAGTAGGTGAATGATGCTGGTTTTGTAACCAATCTTCCATCAGCTGTCTATCAAACAGTTGGTTTATGTGTGCAAGGTGAAAACAAAACAAAAAAGCGCGTTTCGAATTAGTTCGTTCGAACAATTGATGCCTCGCTTTTAATCACCGTAGACCACCGAATATAGTACCCCGCCTCGAATAATTTGATTTGTAACGTGTGGGGTACTGTTTGAGGTGGTTATTTAAATTCTATTGACAACTGATACGATTGACTGTATATTATATTTCAATCAATTGACTATTTGGAGTATTCAAAATTGTGATTGTTACTACGAGGGAATGTTCTCATGTATCGCTATTGCGAACGAATCCTCTTCTGGGGCTGTACATAATGGATGCAGACGTTGATCTCATCTGCAGGAAATATTAGATAATGCGAAGAGATCGACTTTCCTAAACTTTCGCACAATCAATGGTTGGTTATCATAAATTTACCTTTATGTATGTCATTTGCCACATCAAGTAACAACTTTCCAGACTTCCGGCAGAATGCGCAGCTTAAAATACATAAGATTGCAGGTCATGTGAACCAATAAAGTTCCCCGATTGAACATGTCACCCCCCAACTGTAAAATCTCATTTTTTATACTTCCCCCATACTTAAAACAGCAATATTAATTGGTTTTTCGCGCGTACCATATTTTTTAACGGAAGCATTAAGAGTGATCGACAGATCCATCATCCAATCAAATTACAACTTTAGCCTATGACTCACCACCCGAAAAAGTTTTCTGTGTTGGATCCAAGTATCCCCGCAGACATATCCCTTTTTACAAAATGTCAAACCCACAACAGCTTCAATGCCGCATGTACGAAGCAAAATATCCAGAGGTCGACGACCTTGTCATGGTCAACGTCCGCCAGATAGCAGAAATGGGTGCTTATGTCAAATTAGTGAGTATGCGTCACGTATCATTTCAGAGTATGTAAATTTAATAGTGTTACTAAGTGGGCATATAATGTATTGGTTATAGCTAGAGTATGATAGCATTGAGGGCATGATTTTACTATCCGAACTCTCTAGACGACGTATTCGAAGCATACAGAAATTAATTCGAGTCGGGCGTAACGAAGTTGTCGTTGTTCTTCGAGTTGATAAAGAAAAGGGTAACGATTTCGATTCATTCAGGACTGTTTTGTTAATGTTGCGTATCAATTGTTTACCAATTGAGTTGAACGTTCTTGCAGGCTATATCGATCTCTCGAAACGCAGAGTATCGCCGGAAGATGTTGCCAAGGCCGAGGAGAAGTTTAATAAATCAAAAGCAGTCCGTAAATTGATGATGTATTAGCGCATTCTACATCAAGTTCGCTCATGTAACTTCTCCCCCGCCCGACTAGGTCCACAGCATAATGCGCCATGTGGCGGAGAAGCAGGGTGTAGTTCTTGAGGAACTATATAAGCAGGTTGGGTGGCCGTTGTATAAAAAATATGGACATGCATACGAGGCTTTCAAGTTGGCAATTACGTGAGTGGGATTTATTTATGTAATGGTGTTGGCCAGTAGCGACATGATACCAAATTATGTGTAATACCCTTAGAGAACCTGAAAAGGTGTTTGAAGATGCGGTAATATCGAAAGAAGTTATGGACGAACTTTTAGCCAATATCAAACGAAGACTAACACCGCAGCCGATCAAGATACGGGCTGGTATGATATAGTATAAAAGGTTCATACTTGTGAATATGCTATTGATGCGCGCTTCCATTCCATTCTCTACAATCGGTTAGATCTTGATGTCACTTGTTTTGGATACGATGGTATTGACGCAATCAAAGTTGCCCTCAAGGCTGGTGAGGCTTGCAGAACAGACGATATTCAGATTAAAGTAATATTTTTTGATATCCTATGCTATCTCGTTTTGGTTTTTTTCAAGATTTTGCGTTAATTATTCGTTCTGCTGACAAACATGTTAGATCAAACTAGTTGCTCCGCCCTTGTATGTGATGATCACAAATGCATTGGATAAAAATCTGGGCATTGAAGTTCTGGAAAAGGCGATTGTTAAGATTCAAGAAACAATTCAGAAGGTCGGGGGCGACTGTATTGTTAAAATGAAGGTATCCTAAATAGTATTTTACTGGATCGTTTTCGTGTTGCATGATGGTATTACCCTACCCTATACCTTGCATATATCCTACACGGCCCGTCTAAAATTTTTTGTTAACTAGCCACGGGCAGTCAGCGAAACTGACGATATTGAATTGGAAGAACTGATGGCTCGCGTCGAGAAGGAAAATCTTGAAGTTTCTGGTGATGAAGATACAGACGCTGAAGTCGAGGACGAGTGAAGTAGTCATTTCCATAAAACCGGGGGGAGGATCTTCGTCCTCAAATGGTCTTTTGTCTGTGATGAAGCATTGTGTAGGTTGAGAAATTTTAGATAATAGAGATGCGATAATGTATAAAGCGGGACCACAGCAGAAGTATAGTTATAAAATTTGCATAATATCTTGTCTCTAAAAGTAAAATATTTAATTTGCATATCATCAAGAGTGCATCTGACATGAATTTGTAAGCGCGGTATCAATGAGGTTGGGTTTGCGGTGGCTTTTCTAATGAACTATACCAGTAAATATTTCATTATACGTTTTGAAGTTTCCAAACATATCCTGGAGAAACTAATTGTTTGAACACAAACGTATTAATTTACTGACAGATTGCTTCTCGATAAACCGAGAATCGCGGTACAAATTACTCGTCTACTTTGCGACTCTTTACTAAATACCAAGGTCTCCCACAAAATAAGCTTTTTATTTCGTTTCGTTTCACTAATACTATTTCTAGCTTTATTATGCAAATTTGCAAGGTTAAATTATTAGATGTAAAATTTTATGGCATTAAATTGTAGTGCCCGAAATGAAGAACCATTTGTCGACTACAGAAAAATAAAAAGGACGTTATCGTTATCAAGTTTCACCAAAAATTGAAAATATCTGTTGTATAAACTTACTGGCTGGATCAATCGGGGCAGGCGGTAATTTATTCTCTAGAGGAATTGTTTCATAAAGCGGATCGTCAACGGTTATATGGCCTGGACTACCCTCGATTGTTAGGTTTGCGCTTTGATAAATGAAGCAAACGTATGGTTAGCCGTAAATCAGGCAAATTGAAATTGAACAGATAAACATACATGTTAATTTTGTATTTTTCAGTATTGTTGGGAATTTGTCCGGTAATAAGTCGACGCCATGACTCGTGAGTCTCATGAATGATCTCTGTTGCATATTTCTGATAGTATATAACCAAGATATATGAGGTCAAAAAAAAATTATATGATAAGAAGAGCCCAAAAACACACATAAATATATGGCTTTGCACCTTGTTCTTGGCTTCACCACCGAAAGCAAATTGATTTTCTTGCTTGCCATCAGGGATCTTGTAAATACGGAACCATTCATTGGTAGCGCGAATAAGACCAGGCAGATGTCTCTCAACATCCTCAATATCTGCAAACGATAGTTTACAAAAACTTAATACAATTATTATTCCCAAATTAATCGACTTAAAAAGTCACTCACCATTTAGTTTAGCAGCAAGTGGATCTTTGTCATCAATTACAATAACCTTCCAATCAGTCTCACCTGTGAAGAAGAGTGTTGGACGTCATTATTGGACGTTGAAACGATATACAAGACAAATCAAGAAAGACTACACACCCTCGTCTATAAGAGCCATGATCCCCAATACTTTGACTTGCTTCACTTGACCAGGATAGCCAACTTGCTCGCCAATTTCGCAGACGTCAAGTGGGTCATTGTCACCTCTCGCTTTTGTTTCAGGATGAACGACGGTCGGATCTTCCCAAGTCTACGCGCAAGATAATTATCAGTCATATTCTGATCCGTTAGCATTACTTCCAAAACACTTATTCGTATATTACTTGTGGGAAAGCTCCATAATTCCAGATGTAACCGTGGTGAGGGAAGCAATTCCTAACGTAACGAAGTTTGCTGTTCTTCACGTCTTGTTTAATAGGATTGAAAAGTTCGTCTTTGGCTATCTAGAAATATACGTGACAAGTGCGGAACGAAACAAAGTCAAAGATAGACTCTTCAGGAGGATTCATTTTTCACTAATTGCTACTAGTTTTACCTCTGTTGTTGTGCACCAGATGGTCGAAAATCACTCAATCAATTGTCGAATTTACCTCTACTTTAGCATTAGTCCAACGAGGAATTTCAACAACAAAATTCAACAAAGTCTTGGACTCGTCGGCAAAGAGCGGAATATCATGCCAGCGAGAGAGTACGATTCCGTTTTTCTCTGTTTACAGAACAAAGGTAAGTAAAGACTGACTACTTTGAAGTTGACAACTGACTTTCCCTCTTTCCCTCTATATACCAGTATAAGATCTAAAATCAAACGAGTTTGCAGCGCCAACTGTTCTATTTTGATATTCGGACATTCTGACGAACGAGGAAGACAGATTTCTATGTATGTATTTATTTGTACGGAAAATTGATTGACGAACTAGTTGTGATCGTAAGCCCGCCAGATTCTAGCTATTTATCTAACAGATGAATATTCTTTCCCTGTTCCCAAAGTGGGAGTTCTATAGATACATTTAATCGCGTGATTATCGCATGTATGTTGTCATACCCGGTTGACTATAAACAGAATCTAATTAAATTAATCCGAAAACACTGGATGTATTAAATAGTTGCACTTTATGCAGCCAACTTACTCAGCAGCTCGGGGTCCTTCTTTGGTAGTCGATAAATGGAGCACAGTGCAAACTCGACAAGTCGGTCATGCATGGTGGGACCGACTTATCGAGAGAACCGATTTATCGAGAGATATGAAGGTTTTGGCCATCCTAAGCCAAAATTGGACCGACTTGTCGAGTTCGCCTGTATATTGATCTACATATTTTTTTTTAATTTTGCTTAAAAGGAACCAAATCCTTAATCTTCTGATCAATGTATTGGCTGGAATGTAAAGGGTTCAAAGGACAAAAAAGAGAAGTAAAAGTTCAATTTGTTGGTGACTCGTACTATGCCAAATTTACAGGCCCCCGCATGATCGGAGTGACGCCGTTTCAAATTTATTACAAAATGCGAAACTAATTGTATTTGTAATAATGATGTGTCTGTCATTTACGTCAATATCACAGTAATAGTAAGAGACCAAGATTGTTTCGAATGTAATTAGGCGATCAGTATGAAAGAAAGATCTTGTTGGAACACATGATTTCACGCAAGCAAAGATAATACTCGATATAGATTATCTCTGCAGTGCTCAATAAAGACCCGCAAAATCTCAATATAGATACTGGTTTACAACTTGTTCCCTGATGAGTGACAAAAACGCACGAATAACAATACAAAGTGACGATTTTAGTACTCGTCACATGTGAGAACGAACGGACAGAAATTACTCTGGCAAAACCCATACTATTAACAACCTAAAGTCCAAGACTGACTTCCCAACTCCAGATTAGCTATTTCTAAAGATAGATACAATGTCAATAGCATATTCATTATTATAGTACACAAAATATTATCTAGCTCTTGCTGAACTTGTCGTTCTTTTATTTTATTATTTTCTTAGTCTTTGCAATTTTGTGAGATTATATGCAAAAAGTCCTAGTGCTGCTACGCTCTCATAATAAAGACTTTTTGGCAAATTTGTGGTAGCGAGGAGATTTATATCATTTTGGCGGAATCAGAAGTTGAATAAACTCGACTACTTACCATAACACTGTAGATTACTTACACCTACGCTAAACGCTAAGGATATACTTGCGATATATACCCCATGTATACTATGAAATTTTTGGAGCAATGTAATTGTAATTGTGCTTTTTGAAAAAACCAACTCATTTTAATACATTATTTTGATAAAGCTATACCATAATAAAGTGGTACATACATATATATATGATCTTATATTTCATATCATAGTTTAATACTGCTACTTTATCGAGCTACAACTCTGTATAACAATTGTGCCATGCTATTATTTTTTCTTTTCTTTTTTGAAAAGCAAAATCAATTAGCTTCAAAATTATACAAAAACCGTCGTCATTTGCATAGTATAAATGGGCGAAAGAGATGTTTGAAATGAAAGACATTCCATAGCAAAGTTTCTGTCTATGTCAGGGCATTGTAATGAAATAAATAGGACTTTTACCAGTGGTAAAATAAACATATGCATAACAACAACAACAACAACAACAACGACAACAACAACAGCAACAACAACAACAACAACAACAACAACAACAACTAACGGTGAACGGGATTATATCGCAACATTAATAGATTACTGAGGATTGTTATCCAGTTTTAAACAGCCTATTAGCTCCGACGTTTTACATATTGCTTGTCTGAAGACAAGAACTGAAAATCCGACAGAGTTAGCAATCAACAAATAACGCGAAATACAGTATGTAACTTCTGACCTATTTACTAGGCAAGAAAAATAACCCCTGAAATATGTCTGTGGCATTGTTGCACCAGCCTCACTCCCTGGTAAAATAATTTCCTACAAATACAACGAGATCTTCATTATTTTCATCCTCCTTCCCTATTCGTGTTAAGCGTAGTGTATCTCCTGGGGAGTTAAATCGTTACTTGCGCACACGAATCTATCGCCGGCCACTTCATCCATCTGTTCAACTTTGAAAATGTCAGAGAATACTAGTGAATTTGCCATTGTGTATGCCGCCCTCATCCTTGCCGATGATGGTGTGGAGATTACTGTAAGTCTTTCTACTGCGTAAAAGATAGATGAATGAAATTTAATGTATATGTTCATCTTTTGTCAGGCTGATAAGCTGCAAGCCTTGACTAAGGCAGCCGGCATTGAAGTTGAGCCTGTCTGGGCTGGGTTGTTTGCTAAGGCTCTCGAAGGCAAGAATGTGGCCGACTTGTTGTTTAATATCGGATCTGGTAAATTATCTTGATTGAAAATTATCGCATCTGCGTTGGGTGCATGCAATGAAACGAATATGAACTTTGTATTTACCTGTGTGAGCTGTTGTATAGCGAGTGCGGCTCCCACCTCGGCTGTTGCAAGCGGAGGTGATGCGACAGAAACCGCGGCCGAAGACAAAAAGGAAGAGGAAAAGAAAGATGAAAAGGACGATGAATCAGACGAAGATATGGGTTTCGGTATGATTATGATTATCACTCATTTCAACATAATCGACCGATTGTTTGATTTGGTGATCCACTAAATCTCCTCTCACTTTCATCTTGTAGGTCTCTTCGATTAAACATTGTTATTTGAACACGGAACACCGCGTTGTTGCATGTCATCTTGTAGCCATTTACAGAAAATAAAATACTTTTTTATTCAATGAGTTCATTGTTACTGCACAAACGTGTTTGTCATGATTCTTCAACTGATTGGTTGACAAAGTGCTTTTGCAACGTTTTTGATCACGTAACATCTCCCTGTACGAAAGAAACTGTTTGGCACTATCTGAAATCGTGTAATATTTTCCATGCATACAGGGCCGTTGGCTGGTTGGCATCGAGGTAACCAAGTGGAATAAATCGCTGGAACACTCAACGAAAGCGACAATATAGTTTGATTAACAGATAATAGCTGTCTTTTTTTTTTTTTATTATTATTATTTTTGAAGATAACTTCATGAGATTTTATATTGAGTAACGTCAATATACATCATTTGATTTACATATTCAGACTATTTAACAGATTATACAAATCATTAATACATGTTTTAGATATGGCTCTCGTAATTCTTACAATCGCAGGTTGCCCGATGAACACAATCTTTCATGGTCTGCATCATTCCGAATATAAGGAATTTTTACCTGCGCGAATCTATCTTCATCTACAAATCCACCTTGACCTGTCTACTTTTGTACTCCAAAAAATCTAAAGGACATTATCTCTTCAATAAGATCTATATTTCGCATTTCCAGTATCCTTTTCATATTTTCACTCTCTTTTACTTCATACCAGTGAGTGGCAACATATTCTAAAGCGCCGGTCTTCACCTGGTGATCTCCAACTTCCCAACCAAACATTAGGATTTGATCCCACAGATCAGCATTAATCATACTGATAAGCCGGTCAACTACCGCCTTCCCAAATTGCTCTAAACACAACATATCAGCCTGTAAATAAACATCTTTCAATACATCTATACTCAACTTATCTTGAAGCTTGCTTGTATACAGATGATATAGAACACATTGGAATGCCTCGTACGATACATCCTTTATATGAATCTGTTTCATTTGCCCTTCTAACCAGTCACCCCCAAGAAGCTTTTCAAAATACGCGCTTCGAGCTGCTAGCACTACTCGATGAGCTTTGATGCGTGATCCACAATCGAATACCAGCTCGACGTCGGCAAATTGTTCATCATTAAAAAATCTCTCGAATGGTAATAAAGAGCAATTGGCTGAATCATCCTCTTCTGAACTTTCACCAGTGTAAGCATCATTATATATCTCGAGTCGCACCATCAAATCTAATTGTTTACTGTTATCATCGCCAAGACAGAGATCTTTCAGCGTAATCATCTTGGCAAACCCATAGTCTCTATTATGTGTACCGAATTCAAACGTAGTCTCTAATAAATGGCGGCATATGATCAATGATGGTTGGAGCGCGGTTGTATTTGGATTAGCATCAAGACGGTAGAAAGCGAATCGGAAGGTCTTAATTCTAGTTATAATATTCTTCTTTTTCTCGTAGGGTGATTGGAATGCCTCCAGATAAATAGCCACATGATCCTTAGATTTATCGTCTACTCCCTTTGGATATATTTTTAACCGCCACAAATACGAAGTGTTCTCTTCTGCTGGTGAAGAAGGATTCTCTAGTGGCTCTCGAGTTGAAGGTGACCAGAATCTTTCGCTGTACATAAAGCATCCTGTAGGATGGCAGGAAACAAGTTCATGAAATCCTCTTATCGTCCAATAATATGCAAAAGGCTGATGGCTTGCATTTGAGACACACCGTGTGCTGTTGTCTCGAGTATCTGAGGGACGTTTCCCAGACGAACTTTCTCTCTGTTTCCGGGCAGCCAGATTACGGAGTTTCTGTCGAAAAGAACAGTTTTTGTTCATGCTTATTATTATTAAAGGCGGTATGGCGATGGTCAGTAAAGCTCGTTGCCAATCTAAAGATGTGCTTTAAGGATTACAACAGGTTCCGCAACAGACAGGGTTACAGCAGAGCCAAGGTAGAACATCATGTGTCAACTGCGGTCAACAACAGACGGATGATGTGAATGGTGTGATAAGTAATCCTTTCGACCAGTAAGGATTTGACAGATCTCTCGAGATGCCGGGTGATTGGAATAAGACTAACTCGTTTAAGTAAAACCTGAAGATAAGACATTTACTACAGTTATTAATGCAATTGAAACACGATAATGCATAAATGAATATTGCGTGCTTCGCAGTATTCGAAATTCTTAAACAAACTACAGTATTAGTATTATCATTAGTATTGTAGTTTTTCCGAATTCCGACTGCGTCAATCGATCCATATTCGAGGAAGAATGAAATAACCCGTTTGGCATATTAAGACTACAATAAGAATTCGCTCAATTATCTGATTTTAAGCCAACTTTTCTCGCAAGATCATAACCGTTCCTTTCCTTCTAAATCATATGGATCCTTTCCTCGCAAAAGTTGAAGCGCTTGAATGGGATCTCTTGTCGAATAAAGCAGTCAGTGGGAAACAAACAACAGCCATATTAGTATCAAATGTAGTCAACGGACAATATAAGCGGGTTCTCACTTCTAATGAAGTTAGACACTTCTTAGGAACCGATATCTCGGAGGACTCTTCTGCAGAAAAGAATCTAGCTGACACACTTGATCTACGTAAATATATATCAAATAGAATGGAACTTTATCTCGGAAACTCGCCAGAATTTCAAAGAGAAAATCAACTGCTTCGTCAGCTACGAGTGCTATGCGTTGCTGCCGCTTGCTTGAATGCTTTTGTGCAAGCAGCATGGACTGGCCCAGCCTTTGACTTGATGCCTGAGGACCTCCTTCCCAGAATCGTTAGGTCAGTAGGGGATGAACTGAAAGCAAAAGTATTAAAGGAATTGTCGGTTGATGGTGAGAATGTTTATCACTTAACACCATCTGCGTTGTTTTTGCTGATAGCAAGATGTATCTTAGTGGACAATTTGGACCGTCTAAATGGGTTGAAAACAACGCAATGGTGGGGACAAAGAGCATTATTTGTGCAACAAAGGTTACTCGATAATCCTGCTGGATCGTTACATGGCCTTATGTTTGACTATTTTACATCAATCGAATCAAAGCTCCCGCCATTTACTCCGGATACAAGCGAAATTCACGTTCATTTTAATTTGGAATATGGACTTTTACATCATTATTATCAGAAAGATACGTTAGCAATAGCAAGATTTTTAAAGGCTCAGGAATATAGCGGCTTAAAATGGAAACTTACGGGCGCTCTCGGAAAGCGCACCAAGTTTCAAACTTTTGATGTATCTCAGCTCCTTCTTGTCGCTAATAGTATCGATGTCGAAAACAGGGGACAACAGGTGGACTCAAAGTCTGCCATGCCTAACGACGTTTCTCTAAACGATGACACTCTTTTGGAAAATATCGAATTAACAAAAACCAATGATAATCAAAGAGATGAAACAGAGATAGATCTTGAGAATCAAGGCAGCCTCAAAACAATCGATCAGTGTCTTCTCTTGGCGTTTTGTCTCAATGTTAAAAACACGAATCCTGCCCATGGCATCACCAATGAGCAAATGGAACCGTACGTAGCCCGTGTTTTGGAGAATCCCAATAATTGGATGGTTCATACAATGGGTCTTCTTCTCCGATCTCGCCTGGAGAAAGAAAAGACGCGTACTGTTGAGCGATCTGCTCTTCAACTCCAAGCATTAGTTGATCAATTTTCCATTGAAATGTCCAGTGCTCAGGAGCGTATCCAGTATTTTTATGTGATGTTATTACCATCGAAATGGGAAATGGAAAGGGAACTCGCCGAGAGATTTATTTCACTTGGAGTTATACGTTCGGCACTACAAATATTCGAGCGACTAGAAATGTGGGAAGACATAATAACTTGTTATATAATGCTTGAGAAACACAAGACAGCCACCGAAATTATTATCGATCGATTGAACATGACGCCAGATTCTCCTATACTTTACTGCTTGCTTGGTGACGTGGAACAAAATCCTATAAACTGGGAGCGCGCCTGGGAATTATCCGGACATAAATTTGCACGAGCTATGCGATCTCTTGGCGGATATTGGTTCAAAAAGGAGGAATATTCCAAGTGTGTTGAGTGCTATAAAGAAGCGCTAAAAATCAATCCTTTGTCTGACAAGTCTTGGTTTATTCAAGGTTGCGCGGCCATGCGCATCAGCGACTGGGTTACGGCAGCAGAGTCGTTTGTACGCGCTATTTCCATTGATCCTGAAAACGGTGAAGCATGGAACAATCTCGGATCGGTACTCATTAAACAAAATCGTAAGAGAGAAGCATTCAATGCGCTGCAGCAGGGTCTTAAACAAAGATACGACAGTTGGAAGATGTGGACCAATTACATGTACGTGGCAATCGATATAAGAGACTTTGCTGAAGCCATTCGCGCTATGCAAAGAGTAGTCGAGCTACAATGGGAAAAGATAGGAGATCACAGTGTTGATTTAGAAGTGTTGGAGATCATAGTGAATTCTGTCACGCGTGGAGTCAAAGATGCAGATAATGAAGATACATCAAGGCTAGCTCCTAAACTCGAACATTTATTGAGTGACACTATCACGGCTCATATGACATCTAATCCCAAAATATGGGCGCTGTGTGGCAAATTTTGGTTTTGGCAAAAAGTTTATGACAAAGCACTCGAAGCACATCTCAAAGCATGGAGAGCAGTTTCCAAAAATGAGAAACTGACATATTCAGTTCTAACGTTCAATGAAGTTGCTCGCGTTGCCCTTGATTTGGCAGAAATGTATCAGAATGTTGGTCCCTTGATTTATGAAAAAGAAATAGAAGAGGAATTGGAAGATGGAAGAACGCGGGTTATCAGAGTTGAAGAGATTGTGTGTAAGGATTGGTTACGTCAGGCTACAAAAGTATTGAGCGGATTGATCAAAACTACTGAGGATTATTTTGAGGGAACTGAAATGCATGATAAGTTATTGAATACCTTGAAAGATCTTAATCAACTAAAAGAAGAATAATTCATCAGTAAAATTAATAATTGCAGTAAATATATAGTGAAGGAGGTAATTAGCACGATTATTTTGTTCAGTTTGTCAGGTTCATTTAGTGTTATAGTTGATATGCAAGCTTTGTCATGTCTGGGCTTTTTTTTTTTTTTCATGAGGGTTTTATCTCTGATATTAAACAACCAAGACGCATTCTGTAACCAGAATCCCAATGTATTTTTGGCGTGACATTCATTTTTTTATAAGATACGCAGGATGAATATTTAACTTCTTTGGTAAATAATTTGCTGGTTTCAAATCAAGAAAAATTTTTAGTCGTTCGTTTTATGCGGGTTTTATGCTTTTATCGGTTTTTATGACGGGGTTTATATGTTTTGTTTATGAGTGTTTATTTTGATATACAGTATAATAAGCATCTCTTCTACCTTTATATCTGGGGAATACTCTCATGGTTTCAATAATGGTACAATACGATATCCTATTGAAATTCATATATAGCACTGAGAAACTGTTAAGACGTAAGTCATTTGAATTGTTAAGATTACAAAGGCTTTCCTCAACACCAATCCATCTATTGACATAGTCTTATGGGGTAATCTACTTAGACCAATTACTGAACGTCGGAGATGGACTATAGCAACCATAGAAGTTCATCACAAAATTCTCAAAACCTATGGCATACCAAGCGCGAACTTCCCCACTTGACGAATATCTGTATGCACGTGTTCACGTAATTCGTCAGTCAGATTAGTTCAGACAAGAATCGTGTGCTGCAGAATTCGAAGCACCTCTGGATGTACTGTACTTATCGCTTAAACCAGTCAGTTGCTCAAAGGTCAGTATAGGGAGAAAAGGCTGTTAATATTGGCTTATAAAGTCATCGTTATCATGTGAGCGTATCGCGTATGTCGCGATCTATTACAATCACGTGAACATGAAAATTTTCATTGGCATATCACATTAACATGCACAAATAGTTTAAATTTTGAAACACGTCCTGAGCGAGAGATTTACAAAAAGAAATCTAGTACAAGATGGCAGAAAAGTCCGCCCTCGGAAAAAGAGCCGAACGAATGGAGGAATATTCCGAAGATGGTAAGGTTACTTGCAATTGCGAAAGGCAGATGTAAGGAGAGAACATTATCAGGAGTGTGATAGATTTGTAATGACTATCAAGCTATACTCTGCGGAAGGCCAATTGATTATACTACATCGTACTATCCACCTCATTCTGACTCTGCAATAAACTTTCCTAGAAAGCGATCTCGAGATCGGTCCTGCTCTTCCAAGCGCGGATGATGTACCCAGAAAGAAAGCACGAGGTAACCCTCCAAACTGCTACATTCCAATGCTATTCTTGAATCTCAATTCCTTATTATGATCCCCTCACTTCTCTGCTTTATTCTTTTTTGCTTAGCTTCATTTCTATTTATTGCCTTACTGTAATCTTTTGCCCTATGTTCTCTCACGCCTTCAATTATTTCGAGCGATAACGACCCAATCCCCGTATATCTTATATCCCAACTCACAGACGAAACAAAATAATTCAACAACTACCACAATTTTTCCACTCAATAATCAGTTTTGGCTCACGAAAAGCTTTACCTCGAGAACTTGCCGTCGGCTGATATGTATGAGCGGTCATATATGCACAGAGACGTGCTTAATTTTGTAGCTGTTACTAAGTATGTGATGGAGAGGAAGGAATGTGGCTGGTCTGATGAGTTAATTTATTGGTTCGAAATTAACTTGTGACTTGTAATATTTATTGCAATTAATTGGGAGCATCGATTATGTCCTATAGCTTGTTTACTGAAAATCATTGATTTTACAATAGAAATGATTTTGTGATTACTACTTCCGTCGATGGTCATTTAAAATTCTGGAAGAAGGACGAACAGGGCATCGAATTCGTAAAGCATTTTCGGTCACATTTAGGTGAGTTTTAATGTAATGCACAAGTTCGATGCTTTTGCGATGCGTATTAACAATGGAGCACGTATATATATTAGGGAGTATAACTGGAATAAGTCTTTCGGCTGATAGCAACCTGCTCGCTACCATTGCTGTTGACAAGGCGATTAAAATTTACGATGTCGTTAATTTCGGTAAAGTAAACGTTTTAAATGAACTATTGATTGAATATGATGATATGGGAGTAAATATTAATCTGGTTAATATCATTTGAAGATATGATTAATATGATGAAATTAGACTACATACCGAAATGTGTCTGTTGGATACATAAGAGGGGACAAGCTCAAGCACTAGTTGCCTGGTAATTATAATAGTCGAGTAGTATGCCACCTACAACAATTGATTAACAGTTGGTTTTGTGTAGCACCGACCAGGAATCGTCAAAAATCTACATATATGATGGTCGAGGCGACGGTAAGCCGTTACACGTACTATCAACAATGCACTCACATCCAGTTCAGGTCTTGCAGGTCAGTATATATGGCTTCTGCAGTATTGATTGCTCGACTTAACTTACATCTTTTGCTTATTTTATGAAGTATAATGATAGATTCCATTGTGTCGTATCGGCGGATTCATCGGGAATGATGGAGTATTGGGACCCGGAAGAACCCTTTGAATTACCAAAGACAGTGGCATTCGAATATAAATCTGATACTGATTTATATGAATTCAAGAAAGTAACTATATTGCCTATTAGACATACATTGAAGCTATGTATTATTCTAAGAATTTCGAATTATCTAATGTCCGAACTATGCTATTAGACCAAATCTGTCCCGCATACTTTGACGTTTTCTCCAGATTATACTCAGTTCGTAACGATGAGTAGTGATCGTCAAGTACGCATTTTCAAGTTTTTGACTGGAAAAATGATTAGAAAATACGATGAATCATTGGCAGTTATTAGTGAAATGCAACAGGTATTGCGAACTTTGGATTCTTTTTGATGTCTTGTGTTAACACATTCAACTTACGATTCGTTTATTATACGATATAATAGGCTGGTACAACAATATATAGTCTAGATGATATGGAATTTGGCCGTCGCTTGGCTGTAGAAAAAGAATTAGAAAAGACTCCACAACTGACGACTATGAATGCAGGTATATGTTCAGATTTAATCTTATCAAGGCTATATTAACTTACTCATTGGTTCTAAAAACAAACCATCTCTTTTTTTCCCAGTCTTTGATGAAAGTGGTCATTTTATAATTTATCCAACTATGCTTGGAATAAAAGTTGTTAATACTCATACGAATAAAGTCGTACGTCTTATTGGGAAAACCGAGACGCATAGGTTTTTGAATGTGGATTTATATCAAGGGAAACCCAGGAGGAAGGCATTAATTACACTGGTATGTTGCGTATATAAACATATGTATTGCTTACTTAGGTTATCAAGATACATCCTGCAATTTGTTATTTATTAATATGTATCATCAGGCAATGGCAGCTTCGGATAATCCATTGATGAAAGAAAGCGAGGCTGCAGATTCAACATTATTCTGTACTGCATATAAGCGGAACAGATTCTTCATGTTCACCAGGCGGGAACCCGATGCGTGAGTGTGAACCATATATTCAAAACGTAAGATCTATGTGATTATGCGCGCCAATAATAATATACGCGAATGCATTTCCCGCCATTCAACGTACCTAATGACAACAGGCAAGATTCGCACAAGGGAGACAGGGATATCTTCAATGAGAAGCCGTCCCGTGAAGAACAGACCGTCGCCACTGCACAGCCTACTAAACAGAAACTCGGCACAAACGCGATTATTCGTACTACGTCTGGAGATATCCACATTCGTTTATTCCCCGAATATGCCCCGAAAGCTGTTGAGAATTTTATCACTCATTCGAAGAATGGATATTATAACAATGTCATATTTCATAGAGTTATTAAGGGATTTATGATTCAAACTGGGGATCCATTGGGTAGGTCAAAAAAAAAGGTGCTAGATGCAAGTCAGTTATGGCAATATTAGTTGAGGAATAAATTGCTTATTAATTTCCATCAACAGGCGACGGAACGGGGGGTGAGTCGATATGGAGCTCAGACTTTGAAGATGAATTTCATGATGAACTCAAGCATGACAGACCATACACAGTCAGTATGGCCAACACTGGTCAACCGGGGACGAATGGATCACAGTTTTTTATTACTGTGGTCCCAACCGTAAGTTCAATTCTAATTATTACCTGAAAAAAGAAACTATCCCCTTTGTCTTATACTTACTATTCGTGTTAACTCACAGCCGTGGTTAAACAACAAACACACCATATTCGGAAGAGCCACCGCCGGAATGGATGTCATTCATTCGATCGAAAATGCCAAGATAGACAAGTTTGATAAACCATACGAGGATATTAAAATTATTAATATTGAAATCAGATAAAAATCTCGTAATTATTTGGGCTTTTATAGCGATTTGATTTTAAGTCAGCGATAGATTTTTATGTCCTGACTGTTAACAGATGAGAATCAAATAAGAACCGACAAAAAAAAGAGGATTCGAACATCGTCAAGAATTTTGGTATCGTATCGGAGACTTGAAATTGTTGCAGTGATAAGTCAATTTGACGGTTGGCTTCATTAATGTTTTTGAAAACCCGTTAGCGGTTAAATAGTAGAAATATCGATGCTTACAACTAAAGCAGACTTTCCGTCCATAATGCGTGCATAATGTTCGTAATTTCTATCTTGCCATAGACTAAAATACTAATTATAACTTCCGACGCGTTGGGATTGAGGACGCTTCGAATGTTCATAACGCGAGTTATAGTCAGTCATACAGAATTTGTAGCCAAAATTAATAGATATGAGGAGCGTAAAAACTTCGTTTGAGATGGTCTCGTTGCTATGTTTTAGTGTAGGCAAGGCGTTGCGGCGTGCCATTCATGTTAATGGTACAATTTACCGGTTCATAATTAAACAGTAAATATCACATATTAAGACTTCGATCAAGCAGTAAATATTAATATACACATAGATTAAATCATACTCATTAAAAGAGTAGCCGAAAAAAATTCAAAAGTTGTTTACTACACATGTCAAAATAGATAAATATTGGTACAGAAAATTCCATATAACAAATGTTATTCTGTTAATATTAATGGTAATCTCACTTTTATATCTAATGCTCTGTATTTAAACCAACTCAATCTTTTCTCTTATTTTTTCCCCTTTACTTCTAACCCATTTTTATAAAAAGTATATGCCTTACTTTTCACAACTCTTTCATATAACTCAAATGCTATTTAATATCCATTACAGCAATGTCAACTCCTTGTTTGGCTGCTTTTTTATACCATTGAACTGTTTTTTGTTCATATTTTTCTACTCCAGTTCCATTTTTGTTACAGCAAGAATAAATTGCCTTTTGTTCATCTTTTTCTATTCTAGTTCCAGAGCAAAATTTTTTGTGCTTGAGCATGTCCTTGTTCAGCTGCTTTTTTATACCATTCAACTGCTTTTTGTTCATCTTTTTCTAACCCAGTTCCATGCCTATAACACACACCAAGATTATATTGTGCTTGAGCATATCCTTGTTCAGCTGCTTTTTTATACCATTCAACTGCTTTTT